CAAATATAGCTGCAAGGCAGAGAAAGGATAGTGAAGCTCCGCCCAACGCGCGTCAGACACACTTTTGCACCACACAGCCAGAGCAGCAAAGCTGCTTCAGCCGCGCATCAGAACTAACTGGTACAAGCAGCAAAAATGAAGCAGCAGACGCGATTTTGCTGCTTTTGCAGCGTCCGGTCTGAACGCAGCATTAGACTTTAAAAACCTTTACTAGACAGGTAGTAAATACATACTGAGTTTGTATATATGATGTTTACACTAAAACAGTAGAAAAACTTAAATCTTTTTGTGACCAGTTCGTAAAGTTAAATTAAATTCAGCTGCAGTATATTGCTCTTAAAATGACCAGAAGCGTAGATCAACAACAGCCTGAGATCTGAGCCTATGTCCCCCACAGGTGTCTGCAGATCTCTCTCCAAAAGATGCTGAGATCCTGTCGTACATCACCTACATCGGGTGCGGTATCTCCCTTTTTGCCCTCGTCATCACTGTTTTACTCTTCATCACCAACAGGTAGGCACTGTATTCTACCAGCATGCATGGATGGCATTCCTGCTTATGTCTGGTTAGTTTACTTTTCTGTATGGTTATGAATGATTATTAAGCCATCAATGGTATTTATTGGTGTTTATGTGATTTCAATCAAATGGACCAAGTTGGGACAGCACTTGAACATCAGAAAATATATAATATAAACAACTCACAGACTGTAAGCCCTTGTTATTTGAAGCCAACATTACAAATAATAAACATAATTTAACTTCAAAATACTTCAACATCCAGTTATAATAGACTCATCAGAAACAGTTTGTTCTAAGTTATCAGTTATAACAGACAACATCTGTGTTTGACAGGAAGGTCAGAGGCGACGATTCCAAGAAGATCCACATCAGCCTCACGGTCGCTCTGATCCTCCTAAACGTTCACTTCCTCCCCAGCCAGGCAGTGGCAGCAATGCCCTCTAGTGAGCTTTGTCTCTATGTGGCTCTTCTGCTTCATTATTCCCTGTTGGCCTCTTTCATCTGGATGGCCTTGGAGGGCTTCCACCTCTATCTTCTCCTGGTTAAGGTTTTTAACATCTATGTGAGGAGATACCTGCTCAAACTTAGTGTGGTGGGATGGGGTGAGTGGTATCATCTCAGTTTGCAGAGTACGTGTCTGCAGCCTTAAGTTAAGCATGGAGTTGTTGTATTCCAGGTGTTCCAGCTGTCATAGTGGCAGTGGTGGTGATCAGAGATAAAAACACTTATGGTCGTACCCCTTTGGACTCATCTAATGACACTGAAGTGTAAGAAATATCAAAACTTGTGAAATATATTCTTGTTATTCTATTCTTAGCTGTTTTGCACCTACATTTATTCCTGTATATTTGAATAGTTCAACACAACCGCATAAAAAAGAAGAAAAGAAGCATGAAGGGACCCTAACTGAACATTCTGCTTAGCTAAAATTCATTGCTTTTCTATCATGCTGTTTCCTTATAGATGTGATTACAGTTTTCATGTCTCTTTTTTCATTGAATAATTCGACAAAATGTCTAATTTGTCTCCTTTTGTGCAGATGCTATATAACCGATGAAAAAGTTAAGATTGTGACCACGGTGGGAGTGTTCGGCTTGGTGTTCGTCTTTAATTTGATCATGTTCGGCGTGTTGATTAAATGGTTCATGGGGCCACACTTCAGCAAAGAGGTAACACATTCAATTGATTCTGTCTATGCACACAGAGAATGGGTGTAGCCAATAAATGGTAATGTTGTAGGGGTAGAAGTAAGCCAGTAGAGTCTGGTACTGTTTACCAGTGATGATTAGAGCTAGCTTGTGTTTTTAGTGCCGCCACTGGTAAAAAACTTAGAGGGCAGTAAGACTGATGTGTCTGACCTGAACTCAACTCTGACTATACCCTACCAGCTGTGTTCATGCTCAACTATTGCACTTGCCGGTAGGGGTGTAAATAATAATCGTTTTGTATCGATGCATCGAT